AACAATTCCTTACTGCTTTATACTCGCCTCTCTCCAATCGAAAACAATGCATTGTGCGTGCCGCACATCTAGCTCCGCAGTTTTTGCGTGGTTGGTCCGGTCGTTCAGCTTGCTCGACGTGAGTAATAAGCTTTGCTTTGATGGCTCTATATTTTATTGATCCACTTCAAGCAACGAACACCCACCCCCCTCAACCGTCCGATCCATTTTGGATCTCACGCCGGAGAGTTTTGGGGTGTCTTGGATCTATGTCCTCCACCGCCCATTGGGGGCCTTTCGTATTTTTTTTTAATGCCGTACCAANGCTTTGATGGCTCTATATTTTATTGATCCACTTCAAGCAACGAACACCCACCCCCCTCAACCGTCCGATCCATTTTGGATCTCACGCCGGAGAGTTTTGGGGTGTCTTGGATCTATGTCCTCCACCGCCCATTGGGGGCCTTTCGTATTTTTTTTTAATGCCGTACCAATAGGCATTAACCTTAGGTAAGGTTGTGCTTACTTTGGACTGTACCCTCCTCACGCTCTGGGGGAGGTAGAGAGAGGGGGGGAGGCGCATGACCTCTATTTTTCAGGGGGGGTTCGGGTACTGGATGGGGGTCGGGTCTACGTGTACTGCATTTTCGAATTGTCCCCTCACTATATCTACTGTGGATTTTCAGTATACAGCTATCCTTACTCAACGCGTCTATGTGTCCGGCAATCTCCAATACCAATCAACCTGTGATGTTTCAGCATGCAGCTTTCGTCACTCAATGCGTCTATGTGTCCGGCAGTCGCAAACGTCACTCAACCCGTTAGGTCTCGATATGCAGTTATCCTCACTCAAAGCGTCTATGTGTCCGGCACTATCCAACATCACTGAACTCGTGAGGTTTCAGTATGTAGCTATTCCCACGCAGCGCGTCTATGTGTCTAGCAAACTCGAAAACCAATCCATCCGTGAGGTTTCAGTATGTAGCTATCCCCACTCAACGCGTCTATGTGTCTAGCAAACTCAAAAACCAATCCATCTGTGAGGTTTCAGTATACAGCTATCCTCATTCAACACGTCTATATGTTCGGCAATCTCCATCACAAATCCCCTGTGAGGTTCAGTATGTGTCTATCCTCATTCGGCGCGTCAATGTGTCCGGCACTCCAACATCACTCAACCCGTGGGGTTCAGCTATCCCCACTCAACCCGTCCATGTGTCTGGCAATCTCAAACCTCACTCAATCCTTGGGGTTTCTGTATACAGCTATAATCACTCAACCTGTGAGGTTTCCGTAAGCTATCCTAACTCCACGCACCCATGCGTCACGCGTCTTTGGGAGCGCATACTGTGTATGGGGGCTATATTTGGGGTGGCGTGTTTTACAGCGCTTTGCCAACAGCGCCAACCCACTTAAGTCTAGAAGGGGGTTGGTAAAGGGGTTGGTAAAGAGGTTAATATGGTGTAGCTTGTTCAAATTGTGTGTCTCGTACGGAGTTGGTATTATTTGGGCATAGTAATAAGCTATCACATGAAAATATTCCTTGGCGGACACCGACGAAGGTTTTCAATATATATATACTTCCTCTGTATCATAAGTTAGGGTACCTAAATTTGTACGGGCCCTTAACCGTGTCCGATCTGTTTTTCGATTTTTTTGTTGAAATCGTTTTTTGAGCAAGAAACATTTATTTTATTTTATATGCATGCGCCACCCCGCGTGCATGAGCGCCCGAGAAAAACCAGTCGGCCTGAAAAAGGCCGCATTTTGCATGTATTCTGCCCCCTCCGACCAGGCGGGGGGGGCGGGGCAATGACAAAAACAAGGCAAA